AAAACTATACGTTTTGTGGTATTTGTATGACCTCAAATTTTGCACACACACACTGTCTTCATCTCAATAATCAATCCCCCTCCAAAAAAAAATGTTCAATTTGAACCCTAGATATGGTCAAAGAGTCCCTTCCAAAAACAAATCTAGACCATTCTTTTTGTGAATTTCAAGATCTTAGCCTGTATAAACTCAAAATCATTTTTTCTTTTTTTAACATTGTTCATCTAATGATAATAAAGCCATCCAAAAAAATTGGAAATAAAAAAAAATCCTTCTAAGGCCTAGATCTAAGCATCTGGCCAAAATGAATGGCCTATGTTAATTGGGCTAAAAAAATAATTTCTAGATTGTGTTTTCAATTTTTTCTTTTTTTGTGATTGTTCATTAGAATGAAAAGAGTGTATATTTCAAAATTTGGATCAAACAAATGGCCATACGATTGTTTTTTAAGGTTGTTGCATCATATTACGATACTATACAACGGTTGCATGAAATCATTGCTCTTTATATTATCCACTTTTGTAAGTTATTAAATGTTCATCTCGTTTTTTAAAGTAGATGTTTATTATTGCTAGGTCGTAAGCCATAGCAAAATCAAGAATTGCATCAACAATCTCAGTTCTTTCCCCAAATCCATATCCTCCATGCACCCTTTCATATCTTCTACTATCTTTTCCTACATGAGCATTTAAGTCCCCTCCTCAAAATGTCATTTCTCTATTATGTAATCCTTGGACTAGGCCATCCATGTCTTCCTAGAATTGTTTTTTAATTATATTCTCTGGTCCTACTTGTAACACATAAGCATTAATTACATTAATTATCTCCTCCCTAATATAAGTTTAATCAATAGGAAGCTATTACCTATTTTTTAACATCTATTATTTTAAACTTTAAAGCTTTGTCTACTATTATGCCTACGATATTTCTATTATTATTCTTTCCTACATACCAAAGTTTATATCCATCAATTTCCTTAATTTTTGCCTCTTTCTACTTGATTTCCTGTAAGCAAGCTATATCAAGTCTTTGTCATCTCATTGTATCCATTAACTCTATACTCTTACCTATTAGAGTTCCTACATTTCATGTGGCTAGATGAATGTTATTCTCTTAGACTAGCTTCTTTACCCACGCTTGTCCAAAATGACATAGCATAATTAGAATATGTCACAAAAATAACTAGGCCCTTGATTAACGTGTCCTTAGGTTAACTTCATTTGTTTCATACATTTTCACGGCTTGCATGTGACTTAAGGAGTCGGTCCAAGAACAATACCATCAGGTTATCATCAAACCAATGTTGTTTGAGGTAGTCCTACCTTTCAAGAACTTATTATAATGAAGGGAAAATGACCTACACCCCCCTCCCTATAATTTCCATCCCTATTAAGCCATTGGGTTCACCAAAATCCCTTGTACCCCTGCAAGTGTAAAACTTTGGGACGGTTAGCCCCCAATTATGTTATCTTTTGATCCTTTGAAAAATTTCATCCTTTTGTTTTAACACGAATAACAATAATAGTAAGAATTATTATTATTATAACTATTCTTGTTTAATAATAATAATAAAACAACAACAACAATATATTAATTGTTAAATAATTCATCTCTTATAGGTATTTTGATACATTTATTTAGTAAATAAATAAATAAATAATAATAATAATACATTACCAATAGTAATAAAGATCTTGATTAATCAATTTACAAGTCCAAAAGATGTAGATGCAATTGTAAAATAGGTCATAATATTAAAGAAAAATTCATTTTTTTTTCAAGTCTAAATTTGTAGAGTGGGGGTTGACGGAGGTAAGATTGGTTTTGGGCAACAGAAGAGAAAGGGAAGGGAGTTGACTAATGGATGGGTTTGGAATTTTTGTAAAACAAAAATTTGTAAAAAGATTAAAGGATTAAAGGAAAACACAATTGGGGGGCTATCAGTCCCAAAATTTTAAACTTGAGGGGGGGAATAAGGGATTTTGGTGTAGCCAAGGGTCTGATAGGGATGGAAATTTCGGGGAGGTGGGTAGATGTCATTTTCCCTATAAAGAATCGTCCAGCAAATATAGCAAATTGCTTATTCAAAATGTCACATAAATTAACCAAGTTGCTTGTTTAAATATGAGCTTTTGATATCTAAGATCAACTATTCGTTCACTCTAGGCCTAACACCATCAATGCATCCTCTTTTTCATATTTTTCTTTTTTTGTTACTACTATACAATTTTAAATTGAAAAGCACTATAATATCCTCTTCCTCCACATTGTTCTCACTTTTTAATCCCCTCTGCACCAAAGAGCAGACATGGAAATACAAGAATATTCATAACACTTACAGATTCAGGTCTTAATTATCAGAACCGATGATGTGTAAGGGCAGAGAACATATGGGCAACTTTAAATTGCCAATGTTGAGCTACATCAATAGCATATCAGCATGTACTAAAATCAATGAGATTATTTTCTTGACAAATATACTTATTCTGTAGAGAAGGAACAACACGAAAGCACTAAAGTGCAAGTAACAAGTTCACTACTAGCTATAATACAACAAAGTAAACTGCATCACATCACCCCAATTAGTGAAGATTCCGTTAAGATGAATATTAAATTTTTACTTGCCTGGGAAAGAACCTCTCATGGATTGATTTCCAAAAGTAGCTGATGATTGGAAAGTTGTGCTCATGTTTGAACCAGGATTTCCAACTGAAAGTATCAATTAGGAAGACATTCAAATTCAAAGCATGTAAAAATAGTTCACAAGACATAACAAAGAAGAGCATTCACATATTAAGAAGCAGGTTTTGTTGTTTCTTTAAAAGAGCATGGACTTTATTAGTAAACAATGCCTCAATTATTAAAAAGAAACATTCAGATTCAAATACTTCAGAACTACAGTTTAATAATTAAGTAGCTATTTTCATTTAAAAGTAGGACTTGCCAGGTAAAGGACCCGCAAACTGCATGACTGGCTTGGTGTGAATGTATTTACAAGCATCCCCATACTGGCAAAATCCCTACAATATTCACTGAAAGTAGAATTAAACAAAGTGGCATGTTAATTATAATGGAATTTTTGCACGAAATCATTAAATAATACTCAATCTCCAAATAATGATTAAAATATCCAACTTTTTCATTATATTGGGCAGCTCAATGGTAGGAATTGAACTTGGATATGTTGCAAATGTCAACTGCTAACCATTCAAAACCAAACATTCAGACCAATGCCCGATTCCTAACATTTTCCAATATAGAATTGACCATATTACTGTAAATCCAGAAGCATAACAAGAATGACCCCTTTTCTCCAATGTGAGACCAGTAAATAACGGAGTACTTCAATCATATAAAATCGTAAACTAATCTGACCTCAAACCAAGAGGCATGGACTGACATTTTTATAATTTTGGAATTGAGGGGTTGTACAGAAGGAATACTCCAATTGAACCCCATTCCCTAAAGCAGTTACAGGACTCGGCCGAGTGTGCCCCGAGTTGTATGTACAACTCTGGGTACATTAAAAAAAATTTAAATATCCCAAAAAAATCTAAAAAATATGGGAATGTTGTATGAATTTTGTATATATCATTCGGATCTTTTTGGCAAAGATTGATTAAGGTTTTTTACCATAACCCCTATTTTTACATTTTCCTTCTGTTTGGATTTTTTTTAAAATGTCCCCCACCAATAAATCACTTTTTAAAAATATCTTTCTCTATACCTTTTTAAGCTTATTTGGATTTTTTAAGCCTGCTTTTGGTTTTATTTTACTTTTACTACCTTTATTTTATTTGTCATGATTTTTCTTCTTCTTTTTTTTCCAAATTTACTACGGCTTTTGGCCTTGTACAGGGCCTCGGGCAAGTCCGAGGCGAATTCCTGATCATTGCCCAAAAGAAAAAGAAGGTATTTTAAAGAAAAGCGGGATGAAATAATCTGAAAAAGCAAAGAAAAGAAATATAGAAGTCCAAACAGATATGACAATAGTGGTTCTGAATTATTGTCATCTTAAATTTCAGACTTTCATTACCACTTCGTATAGTGCAAAATTCATAACCCAAAAGATCAAACTAAACAAAAATTAAGAACTACTCATAAATCATTTGATCAAACATTAATGGCCAAACCCCTCGAATGAAAAAAAGGGCCAATAGCACACATAGAAGAGTTTGAAAACAGGAGAAATTAGTGCTTTTCACTTTCCATAATAGCACAAGCGCAATTTCGTCCTGTTTCATTTCACTTGTTAAAATCCAAAACATCGATTCATACCGTGCGCATAAAATGGTTGCAAAATCCTCTCCCCAGGCCATCCGATTGAATCCTATGAGGCTCTGAAACCAACAAAAACCCCAGCGATAGGTTTAGAGAGAGAAAAAGGAGCGCATCAAAACAAAATTTGCCGTGAGAAATTTCGTTCACACAAAACACAAGGGGAAATATAAGAAAAGCAAATATTTTATGAATCAATATAAGAGAAACCACTGAAAAATGAAAGCCCAAAATAAAAACAAGCTAATAAAGGAAAAAACAGAGAAGAGAGAGAGAGAGAGAAATAGACCTTTGAAGGAGGCGTACCAGAGGGCTTTGGCTCTCTGGTGATGAAGGCCTTCCAGGTGGCGCTTCCTGGCAGCGGGAGTATCCTGAAACGGCTTGTCGCAGTAATCGCAATAGTACTTCCCCAATGGCATCTCGCTCCTCTCTCTTTCTCTCTAAAATGCTCTAACCTGTTTTGTGCTCTGCCTTTCGCCCATAGAAGCGTGAAAGCTCCATTAGAGGGCCGCAATGTCTTTCTCTTCCTCCATAAAGCCTCGTTGCAATTCTAAGTGTTAAAAATTAATATCGATCATCTCAATTTGAATATTAAAGTTGCGAAAAAAACTAAGATTTCAAGTTTTAAAAATGACGTATATGGCAACAAATGATCTAGATCGTCTATTTTATTTTAAAAATAAGCGTTCACAGTTCCGCACAAACTGTACATTTTATGAGTTTCAAATTTTATTGTGTGATGAAATTGATTTCAGAGAATTTTCGATACCAAAAGTGGTTTCTAGGTGAGGATTTCAGACGGAGCTTTATTTTATTTTCATAAAACCTAAGCCCTATAGAAATTTCATCATATAATTATACAAATTTTAAAAATCCCACTTGGAGTAGTATTTTATGCTCAAACCCCGTTGTTTTTGTATTTCCATTTTCCATTTTACCCCTATTTATGTAATCCAATGTCCAAAGAACATTTTTTTTTTTTTTAATGTAACTTTGGTTGTTCACAAATTTGAACTGCTATTTTTTTTTTTTTTTTGTAACATTGGTTGGTCACAAATTTAGACAGCTATTTCATTAAGAAAATAATAAGTAGGGGTTCAAACATCCTATATTTGAATTTTTAAAGATCATGCAGTTTGGGTATTGGATGTTTGAATAACCTTGTAGAGTTTATTGAACAAAGAGTCGTTCCGACATTAGATGTCTGAATCGTATTATGGAGGTTTATCTGTGAAAGGTTGATTCAGACATCCAATGCCTTAGTCAATTTTTTCCATTTAAAAATAATAATAAGCAGGCGGATCAGATGCTAGATGTTTGATGATTGGTAGGTTTGGACATTAAACAACTTTTTAAACATAAAAAATAAAAAGAGTGGTTGAGATATTTGATGTACAACCTAGTCCCTTCACTAAAAAAAATTGGTTTGGACATAAAAATGTCCCAACTAATCTTTCACTTTAAAAAAAGGAAAAAATTTGTATAAGGTGTCAACCTAATAGTGGGCAACTGTGGTGCACCGAAAAACCACGTTGTTTTTTTGTTGGAAAACCTTCAAATCAATCATCTTGTATTGGAAAAACCTTCAAATCAATCATCTTTACTTTGAGATTTATAGATATGAAAAAAAAAGATTTCTAGTCCTGAAAATAGTTCATTCGCGAACACATTATCTGGACAGTCCATTTTCAAGATTTTCAAGTGTTTATAGATCTACTTGATCGTCTTCATTTCTAGAACTTTAAATTTCATAATTGGGGGAAATAGTAGATTTTCATATCATTGTAATGCTGCATTTTCGGCATAGTTTTGAGGTACGCCTTCAATAGCATAAAGTTGACACCTTATACAAACTTCACCATGAGAAAAAAAGACCGATTTGGACATTGAATGTCCAATTTGGGGGGTAATATAGGAATAAAAAAATAAAACTTGATCATAAAGTAAAACATTAGACCATTTCTGAATGCTGTGAAATTAAAAAGTATTTTAAAAGAAAATTTCCTAAACTATTTTCAAAAAAATTGTAAGTGAAAATAGAAAATTAAGGAAATAGAAAATTGTAATATTCTTAAATTTTACTTGAAAATAGAAAATTAAGGAAACTAAGCCCATTATACAATCATCCTTTTCCTTGGCATACATGGAAACCCTATTGAAGGACTCCAACATTTAGGAGAAAGATTCTGATTATTTGAACCTACGAACAAATTCCACCCGAACCTACCCAAATATTCTATGCGGACCATGGAGAAGATTTCTTTTTCACTTAGAAGGTTCGTATTTTGTAAAAGATTTAGAAACGTATACAATGAGACCACTTACTTTTTGTATAAGGTGGTCACAATTAATCTTGACCATTGGATGTAAAATTAAGTAGTTGCATTTATTCCATTGACCAAGCTCCAAGTTTAAATGAAATTTTTTGAGCTTTATGACATATCCAAGCTATCTAATTTCACATTTGATGGTTGTTTATAATTGTGACCTCTTTGTGCAATAGATAAACAGTCTCATTGTATACAATCCCGATGCATTTTATATAAGAAATGAGCGATTTGTTCGGGAAAAGAGAAAAGGATAGCAGTGAACACACCATTCATAAGAGATTTGTTCAAGAGGAGAAAGGGAGTAGTGAACACATAACAGTAACATTGAAACTATAAACTATATTCATAGAACCATAAACCCTCTCCTTTATAGGGTGCACAAAACAAACCCCAAAGGTACAAGTCCCCAACACTAGCAAACCCTAATGTGACATAGCATATGTAATCTATGAACATGGTGCATAGGGGTTGGAATGAGAGTCGCAACCACACAGACACATCCACTATTATCTAAAAATAAAAAATTAAAATTAAAAATTCCTAAAAGCTACATTCAACAAGATTCAATATTAGATTGAATATGGCCCTTTGATGGCTTTTCTGCTTGCAAGCATGAGATGGGGGGAATGCATGTGGCCAAAGAAACGCCATATGCATGCCAACAATCAGCGTCATACATATGAAAAGCTTCTTGTATTGGATGAAGTTGTATGTTGTTGAGTACAACACCCATGCATGGAACACTATCACTACATGCAAAATGCATGGGTTTGATTGTGTAAGTTCCCCTTATGTTCTCATATGTTATGCCTTCTAAAGCTACAGCTGCAGTTTGGTTCTTGCAAGTTCTTCTATCACAGTAGAATTGGTCGATGACAATCGGAAATTGGACTTCGAAAACTTGGACGTTAGAGAATAACACACCTTGAACCGAACCCGAGCCACCCTGCAAAGCGTGAAACCATTATTAAGAATTTTCTCTTCTCACACAGTATAAAAAGTTCAAACTCTCGAAGTTTATCCCCAACAGCCCAAACAAGCTGACCTAGTTGTTTTTTTTTTTGTTTAATACCCTTTTACTTGTCCCCTCCTTTATGCATCTTTTTATGGAAAAAGGAAAATTCATGTAGGTTTAGGTTAGAATTGAACCTAAACTAACTAGGTTTAGGTCAAACCGAGATCCAACCCAGACCTGGGTTGGGTCCAAGTCAATTCGATCTGGACCTGATCAATTGGGTTGGATCAGGTGAGGCGTAGAAATAAAAATATAAAAATTTGTATCATATGTTTGATAATACATAATTGTTATACATTATAGGTCATTACACATACAAATCTGGTCCTGTCTAGTACCTCGACCTGGAGCAATAAGGTCCAAGTGGGCCTAGATATGGACCCAACTTGGGTGGGGTGGAAGTCAAGTAGATCCAAACCGGACCTGTCGGTATGGCTCCAGACTCAGAGCCAATCAGTTGAACCTAACCCATTTCCCGCCCCTAGCTATTAGTCATTTAAGTATTATTTTCCCAGGATAACAATTCTCTTTATGAACAAACTCTTCCTTAGCCCCAAAAAAGTGCTTTCACAGGCGACATGCCCATTTCCCTCCTTTACCTGCCATGTCTTGATTCGAACCCCATGCATAGTGTTGCGTATGACAACATTTCGAACGGTGACATTGGAGACGCATGCTTTCGTGTTATCTCTACCAAGGCCGCCTATGCTTATGCCATGACCCGGCCCACAATTTATGTCATGGAGATACACATTAGAGCACCCCGTCTGTATCGATACACAATCATCCCCTATTCAATCACAAAACAAATCAAATAATAATAACAAAAGGAGATTATATACGGCGAGATTATTTATCTTTAATACCAGAGGTCACAATTACTCCTAGCCATTAGATGTCAAGTTGAATGGCTTGGAGTGAGTTACAAAGTTCGAGAAATTCTTCTTTAATTGTAAGTCTAGTCATTAGCACCCTTACAACTACCCGAATTGAAATATGACAGAAAAAAAGAAAAATGATTATGACCTTTTTGTACCAAAATATCGTAGAAATGTAATATAATTGGAGCATTTACCTTTGATATAGGGGAATCACGGTCATTAGTGACTACTAAAGTTGAAATTGGATGGTCGATAATGTGTCATTGTTCGGATACAAAGTCTAAATTAAAATTTCTTAAATATTTTTTTTTTTAGATAATTCAGTGGGGGAAAACAGGCTTCTACCCATTTTTTCAAGTAGATTAGATGTTAGCCTTTTTTTAAGGTGATAGTGGTGGGAATGAAAACTATAATGTGGTGATTGGGATGCGAGGTGCTACCACCATGTCCCCCCCCCCCTCCCCCTCCAAAATTTTCTAAATGTTGGGACAAACTTTCATCTATAAGATTTCATTTCATATTATTGTAACCTGTACCAAAAAATAAGCGGTCTCATAATATATAATCCCAAATGTCATTCTCCTGCCCAAAAAAGCGAAACACTAAACAAGATTTCGGTTTCTCAGCAAAGAAATACACCGAAATTTCTCAACTGTTTCGGCCAAAAACGTGTTTTTTACCGCATGCGAAGTTGGAATGCTGGACGAGGACGTCTTTGGAATTCTGCAGATGTATGCCGTCCGTGTTAAGGGAATCTCCTGGCGATAAGACATTGATATTCGACACTATAACGCCCGTGCAAGCGTCAAACTTGAGGTGACACTGCGGGCTATTCTGGATCGTTATGCCCGTTACCATTACGTTAAAACTCCCGTAAAATCTTAATGCCTATAGAGTGGAAAAAACGAAAAAGAATTAATCAACATTTCGCCATCCGAAATTTCGCGATGCAGAGCGTGGGCCAAGAGTTGTACCGTAGGTTTTATACTTGGCATTGCTACTTTTGAAAACTGTCCCGTGATCTGCCAAAAACAAAAAACCGTAACGTAACACACGTGGGGAAAACTAGGGGCGTTATATGTATCATTATGATCCCAATTTTGCAATGAAATTTTACTGAAAGCCATGCAAAATCTACCGAAAGTCGATTCTATTAATTCACCTTATTTTTGATAAAAGAGGATTTAAATATTTAAAAGTTTTAAATTTTGAATAGTGACTTTTTTATTTTCCATATTTCTAGATTACATGATATCCCAGTACGTTAGTTTTTTGTCCCAAGAGCCAAAATTCAAACGTTCAATCAATTCTTGGCCCATTTTTACGAACTCGACCAACTCCATGCTCGACCCCTTATCAAGCCCAGTAGTGGGTAAAACTTGGGTAGATTAAAAAATAAAAATTTTAAAAGTTATATTAAACAATGGAATCAATGTGTAAATCATTCACACGTAATTTGGATATATTTAACTTGATTTTTTCTTGTTTTATACTCTACTTTTGTATTTTTCTCTTTTTTAGACTTTTTTGAAATGTTTCCAACTGTAAATTAACTTTATCTAAAATCCATCTTTCAGCTTATTTGGACTTCTATGTTGTTTTTTTGTTTAGTGTGATTTTATTTTATTTTTGTTAAATTTTTTATTTTATTTTATTTTTAGTTTTTAAGTCAATTTTAGGCTTGTTCGAGTAACTCAGTAACTCAGCTCGATCCAAGGCTGAGATGGAGGACCAAAATAATAAGCACTATTGGACTAGTAACAAGTAAAAAATTCCTTGCCCAATAAACCGTTTGCGGTTTAGCGTTTGTTACACTTACCTGTTGATAAGAGGAGCCACCCCACCAAGCGGCACCCCTTCCATCTATGACCCCTTGACCGCTAACGGTTATCCCCCGCAGCTTGCTGAATTGTATCCACTGTAACATCCCATAACGGCCCCAGACCTCACGCTTTGTGGGAGCCACAATAGTTCCTTCTAACTGCAAAATTAAGACGATAATGCCCTGAATGATTTCTATCGAAAACAATTAAAAAAAATACGTCCTTACAAAAGCCAAAATGTACGGATGGGATTGATCCGTGATTATTTTTTGTCAATATCTGTGGCTTATTTGTTTGAAAGGGTAGAATGATTGAGGATAAAATGGTCAATTCGGGGAGATTAGGGTATTTCGGAAATATCAAGGAAAGGACAAGATGGTTTGGTCATTGTGTATACCTGGAAGACTATGTTGGGTTGGCAGTAAGGGCCTGCGAAAGAGATGGGGCCCACGAGGAAGTGAAATTCGGCGGGTACTACCAAGGTTGAGGCCTCCACCTTGCATGCAGCTGCCCAAGCGGCCTCAAATGCCTTCAAAAAGGATAATAAGGTGGAGAGAGAATAGAAAAATATTGACACAAATAATGCAAGGAGTAGAGAGAGAAAGGGGGAGAAGAAATTATTAGCATAATCCAAGGAGCAATTAGGTAGGTTACAGTAGACTTTTTAGTTTTTTTTCAAAATATCCTTAGGTCTCAACTGCCCACACTGTAGTGTTCAACCTCATTAAAGGCCGTTTGAGGATAGGGACCTTGGATCGCATGTATTTTGATGTAACACTAGAATCTGGGTGGTTAGACGAAGAGAACCTTAGACCGCCATGTGGTGTAAGACCAATATGGACGGTTCGAGGATGGTGACTTCGGACCAGTCGTCAATTGTCCTAAAACATAAGACACATCGAAAAAAAATTTAAAAATAAAAAATTTAAAACTAGTCTGGGGATAATATCCTTAAATTGAGAGGCATTATGGGAAAACATTTAAAAATCTACAGCAAGCAACGGACCTTTTTTGTAACTTTTGAATCAATTTGACCCTTTTTGTATTTTTCCTTTTTTTTTTTTTTGGTGCATGTAATTGCCTCTGACCCAAGTAACTAAGACTACGTGTCCCTAGGATTCGAAGTTTACCATAAATAATCAGCCAAAGCTGAAAAGAAAAATTCACCATTGCAAAATACTTTGTTAAAACAACCAATGTAGATAGCAGTAAGATTGCAAGAATGGCTAAGCTCAAAAGTGGAAGGTTCAGAAACACCAAAAAAATTGTACCTACTAGGACTAAAAAAGGGAGGACACCTTTTCCAAAAGAAATTTATTCACTTTTCAGAAATGACCTGAGCAAATCCTCACCCCATTTCTCGGTCACTGTGTACAAATTCTCTCAGGTTAATGGAACAATGAGGTTAGAAACTGATCATGCAAGAGCAACCAAAAAAATTAATAACTAAAGATCAACCATTAAAAATAAAAATGGAGTTTGTTCTCTTGGCCACCTACAATCCGTCGAAAATATGTAGAAAACAATTATATTGAATGATTAAGCTGTACCTTAGTATCATCGGTCACGCCATCACCCACTGCCCCGAAATTCAACACATCGAATGCGTTTTCGCTTCGATCGCGATACGCAGGTGGCGGATAGGAGCCCTTGCAGCCCCCATCGCTAGGTAGAGGAAGCGAACCCTTGCCGCTGCTTTTGTGCTTCTTCTTCAGTCTCTTGCCGTCGCTCCCCGCCACGCGACTTATATCATCATTTAAAAAAATTAAGAAAAAGAGCACGAAAGAAACTAAAATTTTAAAACATATCCCAACCATTGGAAAAAATAAGAAATGGAAATGGAAAAGGAAAGAAGGAAGAGAAGAATGTTTTTGTAGGGGTATATGTGTGTGTGGGAATGTGGTTTGTGTTTGAAGTGGATGGGAAGGGTCTCTCTACTCTTTATAGTGTTGAGAATTTGGAATGTAAAAGTTGAAAAGATGAGAGAGGTGATGGTAAAAGGGAAGGCCTTTTTTGCCTACGTGCATTCATGGCCGCAGGTAATTGTCTTGTGTGTCACATGCAATGGTCACGGGGGTCTATACTATGTACGAGTAGGAGATCAAAGAAAACTGCCATTGAATTTGGAAGTATTACCAACATGGGGTGGGGGTCCCTTGCTGTTGAATGGAGGGAGGATTGTGAAATACAATTTTGGGAAGTGATTTCTAGAATAAGAGAGAGCTTTCCTCTCTCTATCTCTCTCAAGTCCAAGTAAAATCTTGTCAAGATGAGAGAGAGTCACAATTGATCTAGACATGGGGTGGCAATGGGTCAGGTTGCTCAACCCGGTCAGCTTGGCCCAGATCTTAAAAAACTAGGTCCTAGGCCAGGCCAAGTTTAGGCCACTAAGCCTTTAGGGCCATGACAAAAGGCACGCCATGGCTAGTGTCGGGCCCAATTTTTTTTTTCTTTTTATCTCAACTTGGCCCAGTCTTGATAGGGCTAAAAATTAAAATAGACAGTAAGAAAAGGAATTTAAAAATAATATCTATACTTTTTAGAATTTTTTCTTTTTTCAAAATTAAATCATTCTCATGTAAGCATTAGACATGAGTTACAAATGTTATTCTCATTACCTTATTTATTTGGAATAACAACTTCTTTTTTTTCTTTTTTCTTTTTTTTTTTTTTTTGGACCAATTTCCAATATTTCTGTACGATCATCGCAGTTGAAGATTTTTCATCGCAATTTGTCACGTTTCAAAACCAAGGGCCCAGAAGGCATGTCACATCAGATATCCTTCACCACCCAGCATCTCGTCCGTCCTTTTGCTCATCAACTATCACACGTAACGCTCCTTTGTGATACAGTTAACAGTTAATGGCGGCGCGTTTTCAGGATCAGTTCCAAGACTCACGTGTCTCTTTGGAACCCGTCTATCAACTCGCCACGTGTCAATTGCTTAGCTCAAACCACACGTGGCGTCGCTTAGACCATTGACGAGAAGTGATTCGTTAGGTGAACGGTTTAGATTTATTTTTTCCGTATGGAAGTGCTTGGATTGAGGAATCCACGGGTGTTTCACCGTTAATACATCTCCATCAGCTTCGCTCACCACTTCGGACCGGCCTGGCCTGGCCCGGTCCTTGTCCCCATAAGGCTGGCCACGACGATCTAGCCGGGTAAAAACTGGGTTGGGCCAAAAACAACCGGAAAAGAAGAAAACAAAAAAATAAAATAGGCAAAAAAAGGGGTTAGAATTCTACATAGATGGGAAAGCCATTGGCTAACAATGGGTTCCAGCCCAATCCCTATACGTTTGGCCTGAGCCCAGCATGGCCTGGACCAGGTTGAAGAGGCCTTGACCCCACCCAAGTTTAATAACTCAAAAAAACAAAAAAAAAAACAGGTGAAAAGGGTTAGATTAGGCTAGCCCCATCACCCTACCCCGAATGCAACCAAGCATGGCTCATGTAGCCCAAGCCCCTAGTTTTTCAAGGCCGAGAGATCTGCCATCAAAGATCGTACACTTTTGGTACAAAAACATCACAACCATCTATAGCCATTATGAAACCTCACAATTTGGGGCATAACAAAAAAATCATTAAAATTCTTTTGCACATGCACAGCAACCCAATTTCACATCAAAAGTGATTAGCAGTAAAAGCTAACAATGCTACGAGTTTGATTCCTATCACTCAATTATCGAACAAAAATAGATATCACTAATTCATAAATTTTATTTATTTCCTTTTACACTCAGATAACCCAAGAAAAATAAGATGCCCATCAAGATGGATTGTTATCGCTGAAGTTTGTCAATAGGTGGATCACGGGCGAGGGAGTCATGTGTTGGGTTTATTTTATTTTGCAACGGCTCAGGGTTAGGGTTAGGGCTTGGTGAATCTAGTGTTAGGATTTCCTCTATTTGTCATTTACTTAATTTCGGCTCTTCTTGTCTCTATGTAACTATGCTCACATGTCACATGTGTATAGGCATCTTCTTTTATATAATTGCAGTTTCTATTATGATCTACGACATGAATATAAAAATATTAGTGCTCTTATATGTGTGCATCCAGACGTGTTTGTTTTGAAACCTTTTTATTTCGTGTGTGGTTTGTATATGGTTAACAAACTTATTTGTAGAAATAAAGTTGCAATATTTTTTGTTATTTGGATGGTGTTTGACAGATCTTTTAATACAATATCAATATATGGCATGTCTTTTAAGATAGTATTCAATCTACATTGTCCAAATAAAAATGGAGAGCGATATTATTTCTGCAAATAAGGTGGCAACCTCATATAATTTTTTTCCTTTTCATATTTTATTTGAGAAAAATTCAGGATGCTAGCTGCATTTTCTAAGGCCAAAAGATTATATGCTCCCGTAAAAGCATAATGTACATTTACTCCCTCAAGTAATACCTACCCTATGAGTGTTTCTAAGACCCTAAATCATGGAGATGTTACATCTTCAACGTAGTAGACAACCTAGCATGAAAACATATATGATTATTATTTTTAATATTTTTGTAAAAATACTCATCTGATGATTTTAAATAGTTCTTGATGATTTGCAACATTACGTTCTAGGCTCAATTCCTACTAATGGTTGGAGCCTTCTACCCACTGAGTCACCCAAAAAAGGAAAAAAAATTCAAATTCTAAATATATAGCATGCTCAAAATATGATTGTGCTACATCCAAATTCCAAACTACATGCATATTTCCATTTTCTTTTACATAAACTAATGAAAAAGGTTTATATATAGCCAAGGCTCTAAACAATCAAATTAGAGCCCACTTCAAAAATTTCACTACACGAGGTTGTTTTGATGTCCAAATATCCTCAAATTGATCACCTCGACATCAAGTCGCATGGACATGAGAAAAAAATAGATTTCAAGTTTTGGAAATAGTGCATCTTATAACGTATTTTTGGACCGTCAATTTTCAAGATTTCCAAGTTTTCATAGATTTTCTCAATTTGTACTATTTTTTAAGTTTTAAATTTTATAATTAAAAATAAAAATATATTTTAAGTGTATCACAAAGATTTTCAGTATTAAAATCACATTTCTCGGCACTATTTGAAGGTGCGCTTTACTTTGATTGTCTTTTCCTAATATATATTATATATTTTTGGGAAAATAGTTTATATATATGCTATATTTACCATTATTACGATATTACTTTCGAATTTCCGTTATTACAGCTCAATTCAGTTCCTGACTATTGAGGTAGGTGTTGCATCTTAGGGCTACTGAGATTGCTGGAATTTGAAAGGATCTCTGGTAAATCTCGCCGGAGAATTGAGACCCGAGATTACTTTATAGCTACAGTGAATATAGCCTTTAAAGAGAGACACAATTGGTATATACCAGTTATCACCGGGAATGTAGCCCTATCAATCTTTTTTGAAGTGGTTAATTTAATGATGGCTTAGAACAAGTGAAAGAAAAGACACTTTTCCGGCGAGCCTGGCTGGAAAAATCGTCTGAAAATTGATCATTCCGTATCATTAGACGTTTGAAAAGCTAGGTTCTTTTGCCATAAATTTTTGGCCCTGACTAAGAGAGGAAGGTAGTGATGCTTGTTTATGCAGCAGAACTAGCCGAGAATTCATCGCCCATGACCGCTTCGAATATTACCTTGGCTTTAGGAGAAGCCAGGGTTTCTTCAGGTGAGGTGCCGCATCGGAGCAAAACCAAAACCAAAACCAAAACCAAAACGAGGCCATGGTGGCCGCTATCACGAAGAAGAAGCGAAACGTAACTTCTACTTGTCTCTCTGTCTCAAAACCTTAGGAAAAATATCTGTTGTTCTCTCTCTAGTTACCATGGCTGGGCTATTAACCAGGGGGACTTGGATGTGGTTTAAAGAATAGAACACAACTTTGGTTTTTAAAAAACATAATTTATTCTCATTTCGGTTTTTTAAAAATAAAAAATAGGTATTTTTATTTTTTCCTTTTCTAATAAAATTGTTATGATGGTGAAAAAGTGAGTCCAAGTGTAATAACGTAAACTTGGAGATAATCACATAATAACGGTAAATATAACGAATATATGTTATTTTCCCTATATTTTTAGATTATTATTCATATTTCTAATACTTAAAAATCGAATTAGTTTGATTGGACCAAACCTTTCACCGGCTCGTTGGTCAGTATGATCTTGTTAATGCTAGTTTACACCAACTTTTTCTACCAAAAAATGTGATTTCTTTTGTTTAAAAAGTCGACCTTTTTTCACTTAACCAAAAAAAAGTTATTATTATTATTTTTATTTTTTTTGAGGCTCGACAGTAAGTTGAAGATGTTACATACAACTTGAAGTCTTATAATTGCTCTTGGGCTTTATCCAAGGGAGCAAATAGATAGTATTCTCCCACTAGAGCAACAAATGTTTTCACATACACATTTATCCATTGTTAGTTAATTGGTAAGGTTTGCATAAGATGCCCGTTAGAAGTAAGTTGCTAAAATTTGCTTGAGGATGTGGTTCTAATGCTTATGCCAAAATTTTTATCATAATTTCAACACTTTATCTTTATTTATGAATTTAAAATGGCTACAAATTTATAAATACTTAAAAATCTTAAAAATAAACAGTCCAAATAACTTGTTACAAGATGCACTATTTTGAAGATATGAAATTCCTTTTTTCCTTCATATCCAAACATCTTGAGGGCGAAATGATCAATTGGAGGATCTATGATGTCAAAATACTCTCATCTCGGGAATATTTTAGGTGCACCTTACTTAAATAAAGTAAAGTTGCATACTTATATAAACTTTTTCCATAGCCAATAGTGATCTGTTAAACTTCTACTTACTCTTATATATGGTACGATTGTTTACAAGATATCTTTACCTTTTGTAAAAAGAGGTCACATATAGCAATCGTTTTCAGTTAATTATCAACTTCTTATTGACATTTCAACAAGGTTTCATTTGGGCCTTGCATCCTTTAGTGTTTTTGGATAACGCTCTCTGAAATACAGCCTTTATACGTAGTGGGTTCCTCAATGGTCGATATATTTTTTCGAGCTTTAGGATTTTGCTGATTTCTTATGAAATCCACAAAAAAATATCCCATGGACTTTGAGCACAGTTGGTGATAGACCCTGGCCGTTAGATTCAGATTCTGATGGCATAGGGTGTTTGTTACCTTTTTCTTTTACCCAAAGTGTAGGTCTTGATGGATAATTTACTCCCAAAAATACTACAGTAAGGGTGAGTCTGTTTGGTGGAAGCTGCAGCTCCTGCTTTCCAGTTGTAGAACTCCCGCGTTCCCACGTAGGAGTGGAAGCTGTTATCTTTCAGTGGCCTAAAATCATCATCAATCGACGTTGTTTTTTAGGAGGCCGCCACTTTTATGGTAACCCATAGAAGTAGAAACTTTTGAACTTTGTGGAAAATGAGGTTTTGGCAGGCCCATTTTTCCACATAACAAATGTACCATGAATGTGTAGGTATGATATCTCCGCTTTTTTTATAGTAGGATAGCAAACATGGCTGCCATTGACAAATTCAATACGTAAACAAACAAAAAGGAGCATATAATGATACAGACTACACATTTGCTTTTCATACAAAATGGTCATCATAACTTCATAACGTTGATGTGAAATTGGATGACTAAGGATGCATCATTGAACTTGCTTATGATCGGAGAAATTTTGCTTTATGCAGGGGAAGGACACATCCCACCAGCTTTTACTGCGGCATGGGATACCAGTGATCTTTTTGCACCAACACCAGTGCCAGTGTCCACTAGTCTCCCAAGTGCCTAGCGCATCGGTTTAAAAATTCAGTAAAGCTAGACACATTTGTATATTTATTTTTATAACAATAATAATATTTGTAATTAACACGAATGGAGAGGTGGTAGTGCTCACAACATGGAGCTAGTCCAAGGTAGAAAGATTTTGAATCCTGATGTGAGCATGTTCTAACAACTAACACAATTTTTTATCTACGTGTAATCGGAAAAAGTTTATATAGAGCCGAGGCTCTAAACAATCAAATTAGAGCCCCCCTCAAAAACCTCACTAGAAGAGATTGTTTTGATGTCCAAATATCCTCAGAATGATTATCTCAACATCAAGATGCATGAATATGAGAAAAAAAATGGATTTCAAGTTTTGGAAATAGGGCATCTTTGTAATGCATTTTTGGACCGTCAATTTTCAAGAATTTCAAGTTTTGATAGATCTGCTCAATCTACACTATTTTTTAAGCTTTAAATTTTACAATTAGATATGAAAATATATTTCAAGTATGACAAAGAGTTTCAGTATTGAAATATTATTTTTCGCCACTATTTGAAATTGCCCTGTAGTTTGATTATTTAGAGCGTCGGCTCTATAAAAACCACACCCCGTTGTAATTTGACTTTTCTTCTTATTTCATGCAACTAGTGGTGGCAAAATAGTAGAAGTGACCCACTGAGGCCGGGGTTGTAAAGAGTTCCGTTACTGCTATTAACACTTCGTTTAATTCTTTTATATAATTAAAAATTCTGCTAAAGGAGTCGAACGACTGCCATGGTGAAGAATAAACAACTCCTCTACTATATCCTTTTAATGATATAGAAAGAAAGACACTTGTATTTAAAGTATCAACAATTCTAATTGATAATGTCATTCAATATGTACAATCACATGCCAGGACAGTTTCTTCAAGTGCCGATGTGTGTCAACACGCTATACTATGCTCTAATGGAGGTGTTGGGATAATGCTGATGGAATGTTGCGACAATCCCAATAACTAATTCATGTAAATGCACCATCTAGGGATATGACTTGTAAATAATGACTTTTCAAAGTCTAATGGAAGGGAGCGAAGGGAAGACAGGAATAAAAATTGAATACAAATGGTCTAATAAACACCTCAATCATTATATTGATCCTAATACCGGTAATAATATCAGCAAAAAAACGCTCTCCTGTACTTCAAATGTCGTGAGAAACTGTTGCAGAATAGTGTGAGAGAGAAAGGACAAGGGGACCAAGAAATTGAATTCAGAAATGGGTTAACAAGCACCCCAAACATTCTATTACAAGGCATAACATATGCCTATCCTGAGCTTTATACAGTATACATCTATGCTTGTGGTGAACTGCCATCAAACAAAAACAAGAACAAGAACAAGACATGAGTGTGTGTGTGCTCGCGCGAGAGAGCCCCACATCCATCAACACCTATAAACCGTGCTCTCTTCAATACTTTGAGGCGCCCCATCTTGCAAGCAAGTAATGGGTGGTATGGTAAGAGTCTCCATTCCACCATATGCATTCCAACAAAAGGGATCAGCAACCATTTCTCCCTCATAAGGCAACAACTCAACCTCAGAGAGTGTAATATTAGTGCAGGGCACTGTGTCACTGCAAGCAAAATGCATAGGGGGACTCCTAACATCATAAGTCCCCTTAATATTTCTGTAGGCCACATCAGAGACAAACACAGCTGAGGTTTGGTTGGTGCAACCCTTTGTGAAACAATAGTATTGGTCTATGATTATGCAATTTCGAACGTTTTCCATTAGGACTGACTCGAAGGTTATGAAGGTGACAGAGCCCATCCCACCTTGCCATGTTTTGATCCTTACACCATTGTCTGAGTTCTTTATCACCACATTCGTTACGGTCACATTCGAGACGCAGGCTTGCGTGTGGTGAACGCCTAGGCTTCCGATGCTGCAGAGAGAGAGAGATTGTTACTGTGTTAGAACAGAGAGAGAGAGAGTTACTGTGTTAGAAGTAGGGTTATTTGGAACTGTTACTTGGGTTTACAAGGAAGTGATTGTTTTGATTGTGTAGGGACTTGTCTTCTACACTTTTAGTTGGATTAAAGCAATGACAAGGACTTTATTGGCAAAGGCACATGGAAAGTTTTATTCTAAACAAGAGAGAGAGACTCCTCCACAGTAAAAGCGCCAGAAATTGACAAAAGAAGGATGTGCTCCCTCTGTGTGTGTGTGTGAGAGAGAGAGAGAGAGGAGGATGATTTTGGGAGAGATAAATAGTGCAAATTTAGTGGTCGAAAAAACAGAGTGATAGATGATGCATACCTAATCCCATGACCTGGGCCACAGGTGATATTCTCAATATCCACATGAGAACATCCAGCTCCAATGGATACACAGTCGTCCCCTGATCAAATCATCAAACCACTTTTGAGTTAGTAGGGAAAATTTCTCTCTCTCTCCCTACTATTAATTTGTCCAACATTTACTCAAAACTGAATATAACTACCATCCTAAGTTTAAAATGCATATTTTTCCTATTTCTCAGGCTAAAGCAATAGAGAAAGAACTTTAACAGTTGGTTTTCCACTACTTGTTACCATTTCTAATCAATTTGAGGATCAGGTCACTGACGAAATGCTCACTGATCAGATCTTTTTTATGCTAATGTTTTGTGTAGATTTGGAGCTAATTAGATAATGATAGAGAGAGAGAGCGCCATATACCATTGCGTATGACCGAATTGTAGATTCCTACAAACTTTGTATTCTCGACATGGATTCCATCTGTGTTGGGGCTGAGAGCAGGGGAGTCTATGAAGAGGTTCTCAATGAGGACATTCTCGCATGCATCGAATTTCACATGAAATTGGGGGCTGTTATGTATCCTCAGGCCTTGAACATGCAAGTTCGAGCAATCGAAGAATCGTATCAACTGCAACATTGACAAGCCCAATCCTCGTGATCCATTAAAAGAAAGAGAGAGAGAGAGGGAGAGAAGCTCAATTCTCATGATCCAATTCAAGAGAAAGAGAGAGAGGGGCATAATATGGTATTGCGATTTGAATTTGGGTTTGAGAACTCACAGCAGGGCTATCACATGGTCCAGGCAGTGTTGATCCATTGGGACCCTGTAAAAAGATCACCATGATTAGTAAAGAGATTAATCTTTCTTCCTGTGCAGGTTAGAGAGAGAAAGCAGCCAGAGTGATGAGTTGGGAAATACCCTGTGAGGTTTACAAGGTAAATCCCACCATTTCTCTCCATTTCCTTCAATTAAGCCGTTTCCTTGAAGTGCCATTCCATCTACTCTATAGAACACAAGCCATTGCTTCTTGCTGTCATCGTTAGGCCAACAATCTGGCCCATCAGGTGGCATCAAAGTACCATCAATCTTGCAAAAAACAAGACAATGTGATTAACAACTCGCTGGAAAATTAAACTTCTAGTGGGTAATGCGATAATTTTCTGGGCAGAAAAGGACCGAACAATGGGTACTAACTTGAAATGTGAAACCAGGCTTACAAGGCCCTGAGAAAATAGTTGAAGTGATTGTGAAATTGTAATCAGACGGGGCGAGGAGAGTGCCTGATTCAGTTTGGCATGCTTCATTCCAAGCTTCTATGAATGCTTGTGTATCATCAGTTGAGCAATCACCAACTGCCCCATATGATCTCACATCAAAAATGCAGGGATCTGGGTTTGGATCATTTGGGTTTCCATCACCATTATCAATTGGACTTGGAGGAAGAGAAGGTGCGTAAGAAGGGTTTTGGGGAGAAACATTACTTGAAGTAGGATTCCCCTGTTTCTTCTGAAAATGGTGTCTTCCATGAACTGAGTTGGAATTTGAAATAAAAAAGAGGAATAGGATAGAGAATAGAATTGGGTTCAAGGTTCTTGTGATTGGAAAATGTACAAACCTCTGTGTGAATTCCATTGAACTTTTCTGATTGGGTATTCGTAAAATCACTGGTTCTTATGGAAACAAGAGGAAAATCTAGGTATTTTTTTATGAAATTTGGCCGGCATTTTCACAATGCGCTTTGATACTAGCCAAAAAAATTACTCAAAGGCAACTGGTTGTTCATGAAACTGATAGGAAGAATGCTTGAAGAATTTTGAGAACTCGAAATATTGAGTAACTCTCAATCTCTCTCTTATCTCAGAAAATGTAGAGAATTTTCAAAAGAACTCTCTCTATCCTAGAGACTATAGAATTTTCAAAAGAATGGCTGAAGGCAACTGGCGATTCATGAGGCTGATAAGAAGAATGATCGAAGAATTTTGAGAATTCGAATGTGAAAACTCTCAGTCTCCCTCTCACTTAAAGAATGTAGAGAATTTTCAAAAGATCTCTCCCTCTCTAGGCAGAGGTTATACCGTGACAAAGAAAAGTATGAAAGCATCAGTTCATTCAAACAAGTTCTGTCCTGTGTTTTAGAGGGGGGAGAGCCTAATTTGTACTCTGCTACAATCATTTTGTCTGTGTGGTTTATGTGACACGCGTCGGGCATGGATCGATCTCGGCTGATGATTGTGTGCAAACAACAACGGCCACGAGTTTGAATTGGGAAAAGTTGGTGTGATTAGTCCATCAAAACTTCACGGGTTACTCCAATTCTCAAATGCCCACGACTCTTTTGGTTTCAGAAATGGAAAACTCCCCTTTTGTGTGGCTCTTTGGTTGTTGTGCTGCTAACATTTGTAACAGTCTGAACTTGTGAGCTTGGTTCTAGGATTCGGGCCACTCGAAAGACCCAGAAAAAGCTGTTTTGTCCTCTCTCTCTCCCTATAGTACAAGTTACTTGATAGTGCAAGGCATCAACCGTTTCAGTCATGCTCTTGCTCCCCCTTGGACCACATTTTCTGCATATAGGCCCTCCTCCATTATTTCTTTAATCACACTACTAACTCTCTGTTTTTTTTTTTTTTTTGCAGCTATCCCCAAAGAATATAGGGTAGTTTAGGATGAAAATGCCCCCACAGTGAATATGACCTACACCTGAGTATTTTACATTGAAGTTGGTCGGGCACTTTAAGTGTCGGATTGGCTTTTGTTTTACTGATGAGGCTGCTGGTCTTGTATATGAAGGGCCGGACCAACTTTAGTTTTATAATTGAAATCAGTGTGCCACTATGTCAGACTAGCCTCTACCTTACAAATCAGATACTCCAAGTGTTAGACCGACCATTGCATAAGAATTAACATTGATACATTACTCACAAGTGTTGGGGGTGGTGATAAAAAACGATGATATTAAAATTAATAGTATGGTATCAAAAGTGTTGAAATGAAAGTGTTTAGAAACTACAAATGAGTGAGTATCTATAATTTGCCCATTTTTTTGTGTGCCGTGTATAAAACGTTCCCTCTCTCTCTCTCTCTCTCTCTCGAAGTATGATGACAGAACAAATTATATATCTGAATATCAAATCGCGCAGTCTACTCATGTCAGACTCAGACACTGCTGTATTTAGACTCAGACGCTGCTGTATCCTATGAATAGGTCGCTTATTGCACCAGAAAAAGGAAAATAATGGAAAGAAAGTTTGGGCCACTTTCTCTCTCTATACCTGCATATGTATACACAGAATAATAAAAAAATCCATTTAGGTTTTCATCATTTTCTCCACAAAAAAACAGCATAACTGAGTTGCTCTCACCCCCCACGTTTATAGTTCCAACATATCACATGACCCAATTTTATGGCTTGGCTCCTCCAAACCAACCAATAAAATGTGTGAAAAAACAATTAACTGAATTGCAGAGACTGAATTTGTTGAGCTTCACGTGAATATATCTTGTGGTATTACTGACTGTTTGCATTAATGTGAATATTAATGATATGATTTGTTAGACGTAATTTGTGGTTTGGGAGAGGGGAGTAATGGACAAATGAATTTATTTTGATTCACGGGTTGTTCATATGCTTCTGATGATTGTGTTGTGGAAAAGTGAAAGACATGGAAAGCAACTTTTTGAGAGTCACGGGACTTCATGCCCCAAATAAAATTTCAGCCCTACAAGACTTGTAGAGAGAGAAAGAGAGAGAGTTTTAGCAGGTAGAAAATGAGTAGGAGAGTTTTACAGCCGTGTATGATATGTGCAGGGTAGATCCTGGGAGAGTTTTACAGCCACAGAGACTCTGCATGGATTTGAGCCATGAACAAAGGGAAGACGTGTGGATCGCATGCATTGTCTTTCGCTTGGACAAGATAGAATATGTGTTAGGGAATTATGTGGTTAGGGCCCGGTTCAAAAAGGCCCGCCTCTAGACCTGTTTGGGCTCGATTAGGCCTAAAAAAAAAAAAACAAAAAAACAAAAACAATGAGAGAGAGAGAAAACTAGCCACACCGTCCCTTGCCCGGCCTTCCCGCCTGTCTCTCGGACAAAAATGGCTCTGCCAAGGCCTGGACCTTGGCCAATTTTGTGGCCCCGGCCTCGATTTTTTCCAGCCCGCCCGGTCACAGCCTCTAAGCCCAATATGCAGCCTAGTGCTGAATTATTTAGAATATTTTGCCAAAAAGGGCTACATGAATGTTAGCGTAAGAAAAAGGTTAAAATAAGGTCTACGACTTACGGAAAAAAGTAGTTCTGTAGTTGAAAAACCTTCAAA